GGAAGACAAAAACGTATTTCCTTGTCAAATATGCAGCAGTTTGAGAACTTTGGCTTCCTTTTTTTTTTTTGGTACCTTTAGAACCAAAAGTCAATCAGCACCATGAAAATAGGCTTTGAACCACAACTCTGTACCTGAATTTCTTTTTTCCTTGTTGGATATAGTTTAGTAATGGCTTTGTTAGGAAAAAGGAAATTCCAAGACTACAATGCATTTATAATATTGCATTGGAACAAAATCTTAAGGGAATTTAAGGTGAATGCAGATGTACTATTGAAAGACAAGTCACAGTGAGCTCTTTTACCTGTAGCAGGAACCTGGCCTCACAATTTGAGTGACGGAGCTTGATTCTAGCAAGCCAGAAAAAACCCACAATGCTGGATTAACCTTCAGTCTGGCCCTTTCCTTTATGCTTCAGATAAAGTGGCTGCCTGCTTTAAGAATGTGTATGTTTGTTCACTTTACTTCATCACTACTCCTTAAAATGAGTTTTATGAGATTAGCAAAACTGCTGAAAAACTGATATAAGGGAGGTGTGGTTGAAGGCATAGACGTTAGCCAGTCAACACTGACTGTAGCCAGATTTTGCCAAAGCCTTGCAGAACCATTCCGTCCCGCCTCCGAGCATTTGGATTGAACATGGTGAAAATGTTTTCAAAACAGCCACACTGCCCTACAATTAGTACATCTGTCTTCACCCCCAGTCTCCCTACGTAATCTCCTGTTCTCCACTCCCCAACAGTTCATTTTAACCCTGATATCCTTGACTTCCAGTCAATCCTTGGCATTCTGTAGTCCAGAAAGATTCAAGTCAGATTTTTAAAACAAAGAAATGGAATGATGATGCAAAATCCAGTCATTGCCCCTGTGTGGTGTTTTTTGGTTTTTTTTTGTTTAAGTTCCACAAAGTTTTAATCATCAGTTAATTTCCACACTGTTTTGGAAGACTTTTCTTTGTAGTGCTTTGAAGTGGAGTTCTTCCCTTTCGATTTTTCTTTTGTGGAAGACAGTCTTTTGTGCTGTCCAATACTGAATCTCTTGTGGCAGTAAAAGGAAAGTGTGCCCGATCCCTTTAAAAGTGTCTCTTCATATGTAAGGCAAGGTGGTCAGACCTGGAAAACGCTCTGTCGCACCTCTGGCACTGGAAGGGGCGGTGGCCCGTATGTTTTCTGTAGTGACGAGTGAGTTCATCAGAGCGGGCAAATTTCCAGCCGCATCCTTCCCAGTCACAGTGATAGGGCTTCTCACCTTCAAAAATAAAAGTGTCACATCAAGTTACTTCTCTCTTTTGCACAGATACGGAGGCACACGAAGTGAAAATCTGAAACCATGACAGACTGCTACAATGACAGACTTCTGTTACTCATTATCCATACATTCTAGAATGTTGGATACACACAGCTTTTGTTCTGAAGAAAAGTTTTAAAATGTGTCATCCTCTCTGAGTTTTAGGACTGGAGACAATTCTGTTTCAGAGCACTGGAGGTAGAGAAGAGAATTGTTGCACATATATCCCACATCTATTCACCTGTTTTGTGTTATTTTCTCAAAAGACTTGGAGACTATAGACAAAAGGGACAGTGGACAAAATAAACTAGTTTGTAGCTCAAGCTTGTAAATAGTATAGCTGCTCCTCATTGCCTTGGGCAGGCAAGGTTTTATAATATTTTTTCCCACTTTCAGGCCACAAAAGATTAATATAACTCATTTGTAGGTGGGCTGGAGGCAAAAAAAAGCCTTTGTGGACTAGTACTATACTTCTTTTCAAGGCTCATTATGGGCCACACTGTCACTGTTCTCCATGACACCCTCCATTTCAAACTACTGTCTGTCTCCACCCAAAGAAACTAAAAGCATAAAGGTGCGTCAGATACTGTTACTGACTGCACAGCACTATAATCAGTTGTTATATATTACTCCTTTTGACATCTTCCTTGTATCCATCTTGAATTAATATAGTATTCAAGACTTCTAACTACAGTGCCCACGTAATTTGCATCTATTTGGCTAGTGAGAAATCTAAGGTGTGGTTGGTTATATTATTACCGGCATGTTTAAGTAAGCACACCAACCATTGCAGCTGCACTTTCCAACGAACTAAAGAAAACCACTGAAATCTATGTGATCTTTATTAAGTTTTCTGATCTTCATCAGAGCTCATTTATGTTGTTGTTGTTGTTGATTGATCTCAGTGGGAAGCCTTCCTAAAGCTTGTTTTTCCTAAGCAACCTGGAGACACGGAAACAGTTTCATTTTCACCAGATCTGACATATCCCAGTGTCTCTTTTCCTGCTGCCCTACTAAGTATCTCATTGAACTGGCATGTAGGTGGAAGTTCCACTGAAACTAATGGAACTGTTTCCCAAGGAAAATGCCTTCAGGTACGAAGAAGTTAGCCGCTTTAATGCTTTTACCAAGAAATCCTAAATATTTTTGTTTTAGAAGTAAACCTCACTGTTTACATTTGAACTTACTGATAAGGGCAGTCTTTTTTAAATCGTAGCAACCTAAGAATTTTTTTTTGCAAACTAGTTTTTGCGAACTTGTCTCACAGGCGGTTTCGTAGAAAGCATAAAAACAGTGCAATCCATAATCAGCCCCACAGGAAACAAAGGGACTTGTTGCCATGTAAAAATATTGAGTGGTAGAGTTATAACACATGCTAACAAACTCGTGATTTGTAAAATATTATTTCATAGCTGGATCAATATATAAAGTTCAGCTTCAAGAACCAATTCGGTTATTTTTATCACTTTTATATGGCTGGATGGAACATCTAGAATTGGATGTTTTCTAAAGCTAATTAACAAAGTCAGTTGCTGACTGGCAGCCACTTTTCTACAACAGAATTAAGAAGAAATTAAATGCAATTGTTTGTATGGGGAAGGTACTGCTTCCACTCCAAGTAAAAACAGTCTCCAATTTATCATTGGTTTTCCGGATCATAGCCTATCAGCTAGTATCTGCTGATTTACAAATCAAGAAGATACCAAGCTGTTAAACCAGGAACAACAACAAGGTCAGCAACCAAATAAATGAATTACAGGTATTTTGCAAGATCCAGCAGAAAAAATAAACAACTATGACAGTATTATCAGGGTAAACATGCTTAATTCTCTCTGGACTTCCAGCTACCTTGTAATTAACTAGCCACATAGCCATAACCAGGCAAGTATAGCTCATACGTCTACAAAACAATTCCTCTGCCATAACTGAGTCATTGAGAGCCATTTTTACTAACTCTTCCAATCTGTAAGCAAAACCATAATTTTAATATAGTTCTTTTCATATTTAACCTCTGATCTTGCCTAGAGTTACAGTTTATTACTTTAACAATATGCTTGGATGCAGTTATAGTCTTTTCTCTCTTGATCTGTGCTGATGCAGTCATGTCTGTGCTGAATACAATAAGGGTACACAGGTGCTGAGAAAGAGAATTTTTAAAACAGCAGGACACAAACAGTCTGATTTTCCAGGGGGTGGAATGTAACATGAAAGAGGAACTGTTGTTCAGGTTGTGTACACACTCATCCCCCTTTCACCTTTGGTGAACAGGTTTGACAGGCTTTGTTTAAAAACCCCACAAACCTGTTTGACCAGCAATGGCAATAGGGCAGAATATATGTACGTATTGTGAAAAGCAACCTCTCTCTTACATTACATTCAGTTCTCTTAAATACTGCCTATCCCCAGTCTTTAAAAGTGATAGGACAGAAGTACTGTTGCCTGTGATGATGATCACATTTATTATCTTTTGTTCCGCAGTCACCTTTTGTCAAAGAGGTTTTTTGAGCCCCAAACATGCAAGACATGTGCATGAAGTGGGATGGATGCTTCTAAAAATTCTCCTCTCCAAAGGAGTTCTGAACGTCTCCAGCAACATATGCCAATTTCTGACAAGACCTGGAAATAATCACAGCCTTGCTTAAACAAATGTCAGGCTAACATGGTAGATCTGGCATTGGACATTGAATTGTTCTTGGCTGCCTGAGATTCTAGTATCATCGTCTTTATTATGTGGCCCACAGACCTTTCAGTAACACAGTCATTAAAAAGCATTATAGTTACATGTTTAGTTAAACAGAGTCTTGACAGTAGCAAAGTCAGAGGTTTTAATAGAAGTGGCCTTACCTGTGTGGGTCCGAAGGTGCGCTTTGAGGTGTGAACTCTTTGTGTATGTTTTACCGCAACCCGCATAGTCACACGTGTGTGTTGCAGTCCTTTTCCTGGGCCACGACCGCCGTCCTCTCTTTGGCTTGGTCTCTTCAGACAGGCAGCTCCCAGAAGGAATCAGCTCTAGAGGTGAAGAGGGCGGAGTCAGCATCATCCCTTGCACCGAGCGAGGCACACTTAAAGGCTCTCCAAAAACATTTAGATAGTAAGACTGACCTTGATACTGGAGTGCGCTCGGTGGCATCTGCTCCGGGAGGAAAGGAGGGTATCCGGGGGCAGGGTGGTAGCCTGGAGGAGGAATTGGCAGACTGGGGTGACTTAAGCCCTGTGAGGAAGGGTGGCAGTCTCTGGGGTTCATCATCTCCTCTGGAGTCAAGGGAGGGTTAGTCCTGCTAGGCAGTGGCCGCCCCAAGGGGAACTCGTGCTGCTGCTGCGCCCTCTGAGTATTCCCATGGGTTTGGCCTAGGGTGCAAGAAGGGGCAGCCTCCTGCTTGATTTTTGGGCACATCCTGGGGACGTGGTTATATAAGGGAGGTACAGGTCCATCCGTACAAGGGGAAACGGCAGCAGCCGGGTTCTTGCTGCTAACACTGATGTGGTTACTGTATTCCCCCATGTTCACTGTGGCTTTCACCACAAATTTCCCATGCAAGCTGCCGAGTGAGGGTGGCAGCGGCTGCTGCTGCATATAAACCGGGTCCAGGTCTGGCCTCATCAACTCAGCTACAAATCCGCCCGAGGGGGACACATCGTCGATGTCGGCCAGGTTGAACGGGGCAGCTGGAGCCTGTTCCCTGCTGTACAGCATGCCCCCTCCTCCTCCTCCTCCTCCACCAGCGTGATCTCCCCTTTGCAGCTGGTAGGTGAATTCACAGGTGGTCACGGATGGGCAGCTGTTGCTGGAGCCTGAGGAGCCGGGAGCGGTGCTCACCACGGCTGTGGCAGCGGCAGTTTGTTCCTGGGGCATCAGGGAGTTGGACAGGATGAAGTCAAAGTCCAGCAGCTCATTCAATTCCTCTGTCTCCCTCCTTGACATAGCCCCACTGCTGCCACCGTTGGAGGTTTCCAGCTCAGGAGAGAGGTCGTAATGCCGTCCTGTTAGCACAGGGGGTAGCCGCTTGAGGTGAGACAGCTCCTCCTTCCACTTCTGTTGGCAGCAAAGAATGGGGGGGGGGGACACAGTGTCAGTAAGGTGAGATGATCTCTCAAGGGACGGGAATTTGCAGGAATGAACCGCCCTGAGTTTTTTAGGTTTACAGAGCAGAAAGGCATATCAGAAACCTTGGCACTGGTTGGAGACAGGGACCCCCCACCCCACCCAAGCGGTATCAGAAGTCAGCAGACATTCTTTGGGACATACTCTCGAGTTAGCAGTGCCAGAGACATTATTCCACTAGCTGAAACCAAGTCCTGGATCTGTGCAAACCAGTGGTTGCCTAGCTCCAGGAAACCGCCTGCTAAATTCCAACCTTTCAAAATTGTGAGAGAAGTCCTTATTATGCTGTTGTTGAAGGATTGGCTAAGTAGTAACACAGTTACTAAATAGAAACATTTGAAAAAAAATGGGCTCTTTTTTGACTTCTGGAATTTGAACTCTTGGGCGCAAGATAGAAGCAAATTTCACACTACGACACATTACAGGAAAATTCAAGCTGTTCATTTCCTTCCTCCATCTTACAATTGTGCAATGTTTAAGGGGCATGCTGTAGTATTAATGACTTATGGGTTTAAATGACCCGGGGAATTTTTTAAAAGCTACAGAACGATGAATTTTGAGGCATCTATGATAACTATGTATTTAAGCAACAAGTCTTGGAGCATCTGATGAAGTGTGTCTCCATTAAAAAAGCCACAAGATTTGCAGATGTATTGAAGGCTCCAAGTTTTGCAATCCTGTTGCTGGGTTATAAAACCATTTACTAGCTGTGCAGCTAAACGTATACCCTCCTAAGAGAATTCGAGTATTTATTAAAGTCATGTTGGGGGGACAAAATGAATATGAATGATGGAAAGAGAAGGGCCCATGTAGCTTTCTGATGTAGTCAGAGAGCACACAGATTAATACAAATGAATGGGTTTTGAAATAGCTGCACATACAGTTTTAATGCATTAAATTGCCTGCATTTGATATCAGACTCACGTAGGCGTTTTGTAACGCAGCATGCATTATACAACAGCAGCTGTAAGTGCAAGCCATCAGCTTGAGACGATAGAATCAAAAGCTAACCTAGGCACATGAGTAGGTGTGTATATTTCCAAAGGCTACCCATGTATTAAACATACGCATCCACGCCCATGATTTAGGTTTGTGATATGCCACATATTTCAGCTTCTTATTTACGGCATCCATATTAACTCCTGGAACATCAGGTCTCTTTTCCACCGCTCTCTCTCCCACCCACCCCTTTGAAGTCCCACATAAGACTGCTGCCTCAACTCCAGCCACTGGTGACACCCATGCGGAAGGGGCTCCTCTGAGTTTTTTTGCCTGCATGGTCCACTCAGTGTGAGAGTCCAAGAACCAATATTGGGGGGGGAATTAATGAGCGTGAGAGAGCTTTTTTAGGGTGGAGACTAGTTCTGCTGCTGTTTTATAAAAGGTGAGTGTAAAAAAGGCCCCCCTAGAAATGTGTGATAAATCAATAGGATAGCTCTCTTTAATGTCTTTAACCCCCCTCCCCCATCGAAACAATACTTAAAAGTGCCATGGAAGACTATTTCTGAGGCATCTCACTGCAGTTCTGGTCACTTGTCACATTCAATAGTATTGTGGGGATCTGTTTTTTGCTTAGGTTCTTTTGTATCCCCTCTGCTCTTGAAGTTATGGTCAACCCCCCCCCCCCCCCCCCCCCAAGTAAGGGCAACAGTTTAATCCAGGTTCCAATCCCCCTTCAACTAACTTCCTGGGTAACCCGAGCCAGTCAAACACCCCAGGCCTCACCTACTTCACAGGATTGCTGTGAGGATCCAAAGAGGAAGGGGAGAATCCTATATTCTGCCCGGAGAATCTCAAGAAACATGGACTAGAGGGAAATGCATTCTGCACCTGCTCAGGAACACTGTCCTCTGGGACTGAGCTCTGAATTGAAGACCAGATGCCACCAGGGCTGGTCTCTGACACCTATCCGCCCTCCCAACCGCCTGTCGCTGACCCGGGCTGAGCCACAAGAAGCCGAATACTCACGTTGTTGGCACCGGCTTGTCTCAAGGCTTTTTCCCTGGCGGCCGTGCCTGCTGCGAAGGTGGCGATGGAAGGGAGCAGCGTGCTGCTGAGTGCCATGTCAAACTCGCCGGGGGGCGGCTGCCTGCAAAAATGTCAGAGGAGGAGAGTCAAAGAACCGTCGGGGGGAATCGAGCCTCGGGGGTTCATCCACGCAGCCAGATAGTTCTCCATCCGAGCTGACAAAAACGAAAGAGGTTTAAAAGCGACAGACGATCCAAGCCGCTCCGAAGGAAAAGAAGGAGGAATGCCACCCACCTCATTCACGTGTGCGCGATGCTGTTGCTGGCTTGTCGGTCGGAGGGGCACAGAAAAGAAGACAGCGCTCGGAATCGCAAAATCAGGCGACGATATATATAGGAAACGTTAACGAGGGGCTAACTTTTAGTTTTTTTTTCAAAGGTCCTTCGGAAGCCAAAAAATCGCGCCGCTCGGAGTCAGCCCTACCGAGTGCTAGGAGGAGCGGCAGCCTCCGCCGCTGCCCCGCCGCGGTGCAACAGCAGCCAAAGCCGCTTCGCAGCAAGGCAGCAGCTGGACGGCGCGAGACAATTCCTGGGGATTCCCTGCTCGCGCCGCTGCCATCAGGGGAGTCCTGGTGAGTCTCCTACAGCCGCCGCCGCGCGACCTTTTGCTGGCGGGCTGGCGGGCGGGGCTCGCTTGCTGGCGCGCGCACGCTCTTCTCTCTCTTCTTCTTCTTCTTCCAGCCTCTTGGCTCTTCTGCTCTCCCGCCTGTCTCGGATCCGAGGAGGGGGGGCAGCCCGCGCCGCCGCTCAAACCCCCGTCCAAAGCTTTTGCGAACTGTCAAGCCGCGCGCCCGACGGCTCCTTACTTATAACCTTCATCCCGCCCCCTTCCAGCCCCACCTTCCAGCGAGATCCGCCCGCCGTGGGGGCTTGCGATGCTGTTTCCGTGGCAACGGGGAAACAACAAACTTTACTCTCACTCCAACACGTGGGGGAGGGAGGGAGGGAGGGGAACCAGGGATGGGCCGTGACGTCAGCAGAGCAGCTGGCTGGCAGTTTGCGCCCGGCGCTGACGCCAGCGAGGAGGAGCCCGCGAGGCAGCCGCGAGCCGTCGCTGTTTCTCTCCTTTGCTCTCCCGCGCTCTCGCCACCCCTCCCCCTCCGCCTTCCCTCAGGCTCCGCGCGCCAGAGGGCAGCGCCGGGCGCCTCACGCACCTGAGGGGAGGGTTGAGGGAAGGAAGCCTCGGAGCCCGCAGGAGAGGGAAGCCGGAGAAGGGAAGCCTCTCAATTCGTATTCTCCCTGCCTTTCTTTTGCGCCTGAGTTCGTCCCTGTCTTCAGTGACAGCAAGGGAACAATAACAAGTTCCGTGGAAAAGTTACACACACACCCCCTCACACACAAAAAGTTCTCCGATACCGAAGACTAACACGGCATTATTTCAATATGAGCGTTTGTGAGTCACACGGGTTGCCTTTTCTCCGTACCACAAGCATTTTCTCCCTCGGTGCTTCTCCTTCCCTTCAGTGACAGGGAAGGGACAAATCGCCAAGGTCAAATACGGCCTCTGTGCATGTGCACAAAGCGTTTCCCCCTAAGGAAGGGGAAGGAACAGAAAGGGAGACCATCAGTGACAGAGAAGGAAGGATAATGGTCAAAGGAGTGCTTCTGTGCCTTTACAGAAAAAACGTTTTTTTCTTCTAGACTCATTTATCCCTTCAGAGACAAGGAAGGTACCACAATGAAGGTTAAAAAAAGTGTCTCTACATGTGTATGGATTTTTTCCCCCTTCTTGAAAACTTATTCAGCCCTTTAGTGACAGGGAAGGAACAATGACAAGGCTTCTGCACCTAGAAACGCTAAGAAACCTCTGCCTCTGAGAATCAACGGGCTACAGGAGGCCTTTGGAGTCTCCTGGGCTGTATGGTTGTGGTACCTTTGCGGACTTAAAGAGCATGATCAGACAACCACATCTGCCTTCTGTGCCTCAGTCATAGCCACCCCGTTTTGCCACACTTCAGAAGCAGAGCAACCAGGCACCGGGGAAAGTCCGGTTGTTACCGATTCCAGCGATTCCAGTGCTTCCACTTTGCTTTTCCGGCCACCTGAGCTCCCCTGTCATGAACTGAAGTGGGATGGGAAGTCAGAACTGGCAGGTCTGTTTCCACTGGTGGTGGTTGTTTTTGGAGTAGCTGCTGATATTCACATATGCACATGTGCCTGCCTGTTGGGTTTTTTTTTAAAAAAGAAACTGGCCAGGCAGCACGCTCTGTGGTTGAGGTGCTGCATTAATGTGGATGCCTCACCACTGGAAAGTGTGCGTGGGGAAACTGCTCCAGGGTGTGCTGTCTGGTCAGTCCTTCCCGCAACAATTTGAACTGGCACACTTAGAGATGCACCCAGACTGTGCCTAACCTCCAGTGTGACCACAGCCCTGATGTCTTTGGCAGTCTGCTGGTTCTTAGGATCAGAGGTCTCTTAAGAATGCTCCTCTATGAGTAGGATGTCCAATCTCCAGGTGGGGCCTGGAGATCTCCCACTATTACAACTGCTCGCCAGACAAGTGAGATCAGTTCCCATGGAGCAAATGGCTGCTTTGGAAGTTGGACTCCATGGCATTGCACCCTGCTGAGGTCCCTCCCCAAACCCCACCCACCCCAGGCTCCACCCCCAAAATCTCCAGGTACTTTTCAACCCAGAGCCTTTATGAAAAAGTAAAACATTTCTTGTGGAAGACTTCTGTAGGGCTGGGGTGGCTACCGAGGAAGCTAGCATGCAAGCCGGTGAACGGGCAACAAAGGAATGCACCCGTGCAAACTCTGGGATAACCAACAGGTGCTGGTGTTTTGAGTGAAGTTGCCCACTTTGCAGCACTAACCTTGCAGTGTCATGCCTCTGGGTTTAGAAATAAAGGCTTCCCAGCCTGAAGGAGACTGAGGGCCTTGGTACCTAGGCTTGCCAAGTCCCCCCGGGGGGCAGGGAAACCCCTGCCCCAGAGGCCCGTTCCCCGCTGGTGGCGGATCGGGCCCCGGGGGGAACTCCACCCCCACATGCACGTCACCCGGAAGTGATGCGGGTACGCTGGGCACGCTGGGGGCGGGGCCATGGTCATCCGAGGGAAAACTCTATGGTACAGTACAGAAGCACATGTTCAATAGATTCAATTTCCCCCATCCCACATGGGCACAATCTGTCTTTATAAGGAATTTTCTTGAACCTTCCCGATAAAACAACTGAGGACAGGACGTCAAACCAAGCTAGCATGAAAGCCCTACAGAGATCAGTCTTGCCAGATATCCTGAAGAAATGTGACTGAAAGAGAGTCCCATACTCAAGGGAGAGCAATGTCTGTGCACAAGTCTTCTCAGATCTTGCACCTCTATATCAGGGAGTCTTTGTTTGAGTAAGGGAAAAGCCTTCTGCTCATGTAGATCTGATGCTTGCAGCCTGCCCTTCTTCCAAGGAACTCAGTGTGGCATCTGTTGGGCTATCCCATTTCATCCTCACGGTACTGTGAGGTACACTGAGCTCAGACATTTTTCCCAAGGCCACCCAAGCAGGTATGTAGCTGAGTAGGTATTTGAGCTCAGGTTTTCCTAGTTGACATTCAGGATTTTACACCAGCCTGATTAATTCAGGAATTTTTCATTACTTTGACCTGGCTCACAAGTTTCTCCAAGTAAAGCAAAAACTATCATCCCATGGTTCTCCTGTATGTATTTGTGACTATGACCTATGGATGGTAAGGTCAGACACATGCCATTCAGTGGCTTTATTTTTCTTATCCTGTTCCAGAGAGTGTGTAAACCATAATATGGCTCACTATCTGCACCAACATCTCACAGTATAGTGTCAATGAATTTGCCAGGCATCCTGGATAATTCCAGTAGCGTGGGGCAGAAAATGTAGTTAGTGTTCCATAACAAGTGGTAGAGCTGTGTTTCTGCTCTGCATTCATTGTCCATCACAGATTACCTCTTGCTGATGAACATTTATGCCACATTAACTCAGTTAGCATCTCTCGTACCACAGCACTTTTGAAATAATTTATCACAACTCAAGACAATTTCAGAGGGACTCACACACTCCACTATATTTAGAAACCTGGAATAGAAAGTATACTGGTATATAGTTTTTAATTTGCAGGTATATTGGTAAGAATTTGCCTTCTTTTTGCACAACTTGCTATGGGAACACAAAATACTTCTATTTAAGGATCAGTAGCAGTGCAGGCTAGACTTTCGCTAGTAGTAAATAAAGGATGGAAAGAAATGCACAAAAGTAAGAGCAAATTAAAAGGATTGATTAGAAGGGAAAGGGAAACCATGTTAGAGGGATGAAATAAAGGAAAGGAAAGAGGGATTTCTCTTTTGATGAAGTCAGCTTTAAATACCATCATTCATCTGTGTCACATGTTACAGTGTGTCACTTAATTGCAGCAACCAATTGTCCTGCCGGTGCTTAAGCTGTTGAAAGGGAGAAGGGACATTCTGTCTCTTCTCACTTTGTTATTTCTCTGGGAGAGTCTTCACTCTCCTTTGGCTGCAATCCTAAAAACACTTTCCTGTGAGTTAGCCCCACTGAATAAAATAGGAGCTATTCCCAAGTAAACCTGTTTAGGATTGCTTCCTAAACTGACAGTGGTTAGTATGTATGGCTGGATTATGCTGTTTGTCATGCCCTTAAGAACTAGGACAGGACACAGTCATGTTACATTTTACACTTGCCTTTTGGGATTGCAGTTGCAACGGGAATCTGAATGGCACTGACTAGAATGTCCCAATTACCAGCACTAGTATTTTAGTTTACTGCACTGGAGTTATTACTTTGTAGTGTTTCATGCACAGTCTTTAAGTAGAAATAAGTATCATCATTTGAAACCTGTTAGATGAGACCCTGTTCATATTTGGAGGAGATTTTCAGATAACATAAGTTTAATAGCAAGTAGAAGTGGATGGTATAGATACTTTGTAATTAGTTAGTATACTAATTTGCATCACATTTAAGGAAATTATGTTTTCCTGCCCTGAACAAATATTTTATTACATTTTACAATTGTAAATGGGAACACAACCTGATTAATCTTTTTGCTATTTCAGCTTATGCTAATTCTTTTCATGAGTTTTTAAGTGCCTGAGGAATGTCATAATTTTGAATTACCATTACAGCCTGATTTTTATTTTGAATAGTTGCAATGTAAACTAGGTTCTAGATGCCCTGTAAAATATTTGATACATAGCACATAGGGTTGCCAACCTCCAGGTGGTGGCTAGAGATCTCCTGTTATTGTAACTGATCTTCAGGCAACAGAGATCAGTCCCCATAGCAAAAATGGCCACTTTAGAAGGTTTTCTCTATGGCATATCCCTTGAAGTCCCTCCCCTTCCCAAACCCCACCCTCCTCTGACTGTACCCACAGAATCTCCAGGTGTTTCCCAACTAGGAGCTGGCAACCTTAATAGGACATAACTGGAATTGTGGAATATATTCCAAGCTGGTACTTCTCTCCAGTTCTGAATTTATCTTATTTACTTCCATGCCGTGAAAAACCTCAGCTATGTATTTCCATACATTAAGCCTCTGTTAAAGGGACAGGACATTTTTCTCCAGGCATGTTGGCAACCCTCAGTAGCACACATTGTTCATCCAACTCCACTTTATTCTAACAACAAGCCTACAAAGGAAGTTAGTTTGAGAGAGAATGATTGGCCCA